CGTCACTCACTGTGGCACCTCCACCCGCCATCACCAAAAAAATTTTCCGCAACTAATGTATGATCCTGGGTGGGCCGAGCCGTCTGAGTTTTGGTAATTGCTGGGTAAATGCAGTGCTTGGGGGGTGTGGAGGAAAGGGGTCTGGGGTGTTCTTTGGTCGTCGGGGCTATGACGAAGGGGAGACGATGGGGTTACTAACTGGGAAGGGGCTGATGAGATATTCCTTGGTGATTTTGGAATTAGACATAGAGGGGGGAGGGGGGATTTATGCGGGATGAGGCTGTGCGGGTTTTTTTCTGTTCGAAATAAAAATTAACGCTGCGAGGACCATTAAACATCACGTCAAAATGCCCGCTAGCATGAGGTTCACAGCTTGCACCATAGGCGGATCCAGGGGGGTCTCCTGGGGGAAGGGGCGATTTTTCACCTCCTCTTCTCCCTTCGCCACTGCACCCTCCCCTCCCCTCCCCCTCCTCCCTGGCCAACTCACAACCCACTTCTCGATCGTTCCGCTAGCCTCCCTTTCCCCTCTCGAAGGTCGCGCTGCACCCCTTTCCCCGGTCGTCACTACCCTCAGCAAGTGTTTTGGAAATTTTTGAAAAATGTAAACTATGGATGTTTGTTTGACACTGTAGACCAGCCGATGAAAGGGACACAGTCGAATATTGTCAGTTGTGGGAAAGCAGTGAGCGCTAATTCAAATGCCCAGATAAGCGAGCCTGTATGTGTATTAGCTGTTGTCCGGTCTGTGTTTCATCCCTCAGCAACCCGCTACCTTCCTCCTCCCCTTTCCCTTCGCTCTTCTCGCCGCTCCCCTCCCCCTCTCCCCACCCCGCTCTTACTGGTAGACACTAAATTGAGAGTGCCAGGGCTCCTGGCAGTACTGGACACGCTTTTGTACAGTAAAACAACTACTACCTGAGCCCCTTGGGGGTTGGGACGCGTAGGGCCCCTCGTTTTTCCCCTCCGTCCCCCTCCTACCCCCTCCCTCCCTCCTCGCCCTGGATCCGCCAATGGCTTGTACCTAAACTCCCAAAAACAAGTGCATATTGTACGGCCGAGCCGAATTTCAGTAATTGCTCTTTTTGCCTCTGTGTAATTGGAATTTTTTCTGTGGTAGGGGGGGGGAGGGGGAGGAGGGGTTGTGTGTAGTTGCCAAGCCTTGGTTCCTTCGTGTGTTGTAGTACGGGACTGGTACCAACGGAAAAACTCGATCTACAACCAGAACCTACGGATATCCCAATGAAAGATATCTCAAAAGCCAAATCGTAGCTGGCCTCGTGCCGTATTTCGAGGGTTGGCCTTGTTGCAGAGGGGGGTGGGCAGTCTTCCCCTTTGTTTCGGTAGTAAATTGGTACTAGCATATGTCAGTACATGTCAAACCTACCCCCATCTTGCTTATTACATAATCCTTGAAAGAGGTAGCCATCGACGCGTTTACCAACGTGTGGTTGATACTTTTGGCACTTGTTACCACTCCGGTTATTTTTGAGGGTGAATGCAAAAAGAGGGGTTTTGACTTTTGACTTTCAGAACTCGTACGAATTATAATAATCCTACAAATTTTCTAAATTTTCATTTCTTACCTTCCTTTTCCCTTTTTTCCCTCTTTTTTCCATTCTTTTCTATTAAAGCTTTCTGTTTCACTCAGAAATATCAGTGATTTGATAAGTTGACTGTCCATTAAGTCATATACGTTTTAGCTCAACACCACGACTGATTGTAGCATGATCTTCTTACCAATTATTAATAATCTCACAGATTTTCTAAATTTTCGTTTCTTATCTTCCTTTCCCCCCTCTTTTTTCATTCTTTTCTATTATAGCTTTCTGTTTCACTCAGAAATATCAGTGATTTGATAATCTGACTGTCCATTAAGTCATATACGTCTTAGCTCAACACCACGACTGATTGTAGCATGTAGATAATGTTAAGAAATTAAGGAGGATAAGCATGGAGCGAACTATGTATGGGTGGATGTAGAAATCAAGTTAGTGTGGAAAAACTTAGTATATAATGAATTCGGACGTTTTGGTCCATTAAGCCATATACGTCTTAGCTAAGCACCACGACTGGACCTCGTTAGACCATAAAAAATGTGCCTTCTTCCGGTGCCTCTTCTAAAAACCTGTAAAGGATTGTGGCATTCCATTCTGGAGGCGTTTAAGCGGATTCTTCCACCCGTTTACGACATTCGTTGTGTTCTTTTAACGTGGCCCAGTCGTTTTTTATGCAAAAATTGTTCACGATTTCTGATAATATTTTGTTGCAGTTTTTTTGATCGTCGGTAAAGGAGGTATTTTGTTCTTGCGAGAAATGGCCAAGTCGAAGAATCACACAAGTCATAATCAAAGTAAGTTTCACTTATTGATTGAAACATTGTACCTGTTGATCTTATGATTTAGCGAGTGCAATTTCATGGCTTTTGACCGGCATGCTTATTAGAGTTGGGTGCTAGTTTTTTGTGAATGTTGTAAAAATGCAAAAATTGAGTAGGTTTTCGTAAAATTAGACCGAAAAAGTGCCTAATTTAGCCTGTTTGGTAGAGGCCAATACAAAATTTGGGGGAAAATGCGGTAAAATTAACTGGAAAGTGCGAGACGTCGTTGAAAAAGTGGGTAAATGGGTCCAGGAAAGTTAAAAAACGGCAGTAAATCTCTGAAAGATGTTCTGTTCAAGCGAATAAGATGCAAGAACTGCGAGTTTTGGGCGAAGGAGAAGTGCAAGATTTGGTAAAATCCTGTTTTGGGTAAAGTAGGAAAATTTCTATATAACTCTCTTGTTTTTCCATACAACAGTAGCATGAAACAGCAACTTATTGTTATAATAGTAACAGTGTAAATAATGATGACAATGATGACGATAATATTAGAAGTAATAATGATAATATTGATAATGACAGTAGTAATAATAATAATAACGTTGATAACATGACAAATGACAGAAAAGCTGGAGAGAGTCTACTATATACAGCTCAGGATAAAAGACTTGGCGTAACATCGGATTTGATAGCATCCCACTACTGTGTCATCGCCCTAAATTCTGTTCGAAAGATATCGATAATCTTGGATGGGAGGTACTGATTGTGTACCTAATGTGTTGCGAAAGGAACAAGGTTTTAACAGCAAGGAAACGAAGCTGTCGGCTCTATCCCTTCGCTCCCTTGCCCAGTTGCCCTTCGATTGCATGTGATATGCAAATGTCTCGTCTCCTGACTGGAGTTCCCCCTCCATTATATGTAATGATGTGATTAGAAATGATGTGGGGCCAGGTCGTTTTTGCGTGTGAGTAATTGTGCGGTGACAGCTTGGAGCTGCTGCGGGATCTCGTGCGATTGTCGGATGGTTTTTTTTTTCTGGATGTGTTTTTTCCTGTCTTTTCTTAAAATAAAGCACTGTTTATTGGTTTGGGCGAGTGCCTCCTGCAGCCTCACAGCAGAACCCCCCTCTCCTCTTCCGCAGCCCCTACCCATCCTCCGCGCGTTGCATGAGGACGGAACCGATGATCGAAACCGGGACCTCTCGCATGCTACAGACTTTTCAATTCATTTCGCCAAAAGTGTTGTGGATAGTCCCTTTACAGAAAAATACTCGGCTGCTTTCTATTGAAAGTACACCTGGAATTTCCTGGAACAAGTGTTGATTGAAGTTCTGGATCTTTGTGCAACTTGTAACTTTCCATCCACACAAGTCTGGTGTTTGCCTTGTGAGGGATTAATTTCCAGCGTGTGTTTTCCTTGTAACGGATAATTGCTGTTTTAGCGTAAAAGTATCCCCGGTATTTTGCAGACCGAAAAGATCATCGCAACGGTATAAAACGACCGAAGAAGCATCGATTCATGTCCATGCGGGGTGTTGATCAGAAGTTTTTGCGCAATCTTCGATTCGCCAAGAAGCACAACAAGAAGTTCCGTCCTCAAAAAAAGATTGAAGTTGTGGAAAAGGAGAAAAAATAGAAATTG